GCACAAAGTCACTGAAAATCCCACTAGCTCCCTAATTCTGTTAGTGTATTTTGTAAAAATGAAAACAACCACGTGACAGTTGATAAAAAGAGCCCTTTGCCATCTAAAAGCAGCACAGTGGGAATGTGGATGTTTCTGTTGCTGCTCTCGGTGTGATTATCCTCTATTTATAACAGCCCTCGTTTTGCACGGAGGCCTCCCAAGTGACTCAGACCTCTGATAAGTCCTAGTTCAAGTTCTCACCATAGCAAGAGCCCCAGAATAGTCCCAGTGTTGTTTTTAACTGCAACGGGTGAGCAGGCTGGTTCATGAATCCTCCCCGATCAGAGGCAGTACATAACTTGCTTGCACCAGAATAGCCCTGATCTCAGCAATCCTGCATTCAGCTTTCCGTCTCTATGTTCAATGCATTTGGAAAAAGGGAGGTTTCTACCGCAGGCCCAAAGGGACTTCTACTTGACTGAGCTGGCCTTCTTTGGCTGCAACTGCGCACAACCCTTTGAGGTTTATGTCATTTCATGAGATTCTATCAGTGCCTTTCAAATATGCCTTATTCAAGGGAACATTTAAACCAGATTATTGAGCTACTGCATTTATTTATTCTTTCAGCAATTCATAGCCAATCGTATGTTCAGGTTTAAAAGGGGGAAAGGGAAAAATCTTTCCCTCTTCCACACTCCACTTCAAATGCAGAACATGTAACTTTTTAACAATCTGCTGCTTTTTAACATTTCATTTTATTCCTATTATCCCCGCTCCCCTGCCCCAAGATGTGTTGCTTGGTGGAAGAGGGCTATACTGTACTCTTATGGGCAGTTATGGGTCTAATGCTGTTTAATGCAACGAAGACAATGCCATGCACTCAGTGGCCTTGAGGAGCAGGGAAATTCAGAGTTATGTGCGCGAGAACTAGGCGTGGAGGGAAAAATGTTTCCCTTTATTTTTTGATACAAATTTATCAATAATGTGCAAGTTCCTTCATAGGTAGCATGGAAAAACTTCAGGTATTAAACATTAAGAAATAAAGAAAAACCAGATTTGCTCAGCTGGAAACGAGTGGACAAAGGGCTGCCCATGTATCTTTATGTGCAGCTCTCTTATGTGTACCCCTGTCCTGCTTGCCCCCCCAAATATCTTCCCCTGCCAAAAAACTGGCTTATAATTCCCCTTGTACTCTCTCTAGGGAGGCACAGGAGTCAACTGTTGCCTTCTCTGGCGACTGTGTGTATCCACAGTCCCTCCCTTTCAGTTTTTGTAGTTATTAAAGGAGAAATGTGGTTACTGCAGGCAGAGAGGCTTTCCTTTTTTAAAAAAAAAAAAGTGATTTAAAAAGAAAAATATTTTGGATGTGAGAGCAGCCACAATCCTCCAAGGTCCAGGATGGGCATGTGTGACCTTTGAGGCTCTGGAGATTGTCCATCCTTGAATAAGACCAGGCACTTTGAGCGACTAGTTCTTAAGCCTGGCTTTGAATCAGTGTCTTTTCAGCCATATTTGTGCTGAATTTGGTTTGTTGCCTCTCATTCCCCCCCCCCAGGTACTCCTTGTCTTTGATCCCTATAAAGACTTGAATAACAATGACAACAACCATATTGTGTGTTACCCAGAGTGCATTACAATAAATCAATAATGTACAAACATGCAACACAACATTTAAAAAGCCTTAATATCACATGTACATTCTCCTTTGAATTGTACAGATCTAGGCAGCAAAGTTTTGGTTATACATTTCCCCCCCAATAAATAAGAAAACAAATGTTCAATAAATACTGTGGTGTTATTCATCTCCAGGAAGTGGTCTCAGAAAGGTGGGCCTCAGGCTGTCTGTCCTGTCTGCCCTACTGTTGGCAGTGCAGAGAATCCCAGTCTGATGGTGGGAGCCCTTCCAGATCCCTCTTCTGTAATGGCAGCTCTAAGTGGCTGCAGGGGAGGGTCCTGGGGCATGCCAGGAGGCTGATGTGGGTCAGGGGAGGTAGGTGATTCTGTGTGTGAATCAACTGCTTATGCTTTGTAGTTACATTTTAGGGAGGTGTAAGAGTTATACATGGATTTTCAAACCTTGCCTAACTCTGGTT